GTACTTTCTCATGTTAGTCAGCGCATAACCGGTTAGAAAATTACATTCATTTGTTCGACGTCACCGAAACCTTCCACGGAACGAGAGAAACCGTACGCCATCCCCTAGAAACAATACGACCGAGATTGCCTAAACGCCACGGGCCGATATCCATTCAGATTCACCGAGTAGACATAACTCGCAAAAATTAACACTTTAATCAAGCACCCCCCGTCCAATCGCCGTCCCTCCAGTAACACACTTGAAACTCTGGCAGAGGGTAATCGTTAAACACGGCCACCCTTCCGACGCGATCCCCTTTATCAGTCCAGTTACCCTTATTTCCTGAGAGATTCGATGGGCCGGGTGGCCGACGGAGAATGCGGAAGCACCGGTCCAACGAGCCTGGCACGATCGGCCCGGGCTCCGCATAAAATCTAAAGGCAGCTAGACGCAGAGTTCACGTAGACGGATAGAGAAAAAGAGCCAGCAGGCAGCGACACGTCCGACGAATGGACGAAACGTACGTGTTTTCGATCACCGCGTCGAAATTGCTGGCGCAAGGATCCGGTAAATACGAACCAGGCCGCCCCATTGTTGCTATTCGAATCGCATATCGGACGTAGTCAGCACGACCCGACCGGATGCATACGTAAGCCTTTAGCCGGGAGCACGCGCGTCTACGAGGTCCCTTCGGAAAGTATCCTTCTTTTTTGCCGTAACGGGCGAAACAGTTAATTTTCCTCAATATTTAACCCTTTACACTCGAGTGACGACTCTGAGGCACCACTGATATTTCTTATATCATCTTTCAGGATAATTTTGTTATTAACAAAATTATTAAGAGTGTAACTGTTGCGCGAGTCCCAAGAGTCAATTTTCACATATGCATAAAATGCATTTTCTCATATAAAATAGAAATACTGTAAGTTAGAAAAATGATTTTATATTTTCAGTTGAAGTAGCTTCGAGAGCGAAGAGTTAACTACAGTGCTGATCGAAAGAATAAAACGCTCGACAGATTTCGTAATTTTTCACATTTAAGTGTGAGGAACGTTCAGCGTAAACTTCATAAGCAGCGTAAGCTTTTCCTCAATATTAACCCTTTACACTCGAGTAACAATTCTGAGGCGCCACTAATATTTCTTATATCACCTTTCAGGATAATTTTGTTATCAACAAAGTTCACATTTGAAACATTGTTAAGAGTGTAACTGTTGCGCGAGTCCCAAGAGTCAATTTTCACATATGCATAAAATGCGTTTTCTCATATAAAATAGAAATACCGTAAGTTAGAAAAATGATTTTATATTTTCAGTTGAAGTAGCTTCGAGAACAAAGAGTTAACTACAGTGCTGGTCGAAAAAATCGTTTAAGTGTGAGAAACGTTGATAAGCGTCGTATATACAGCGACGAGTTTTGAAATGCAATTACTTTTGTAAAACTGATCTAAATGACTCTAATTCTTTTTTTGTACATGTTACAGAGACTACTTCACTGTACAGTGACTGAAAGTCACAATGACAAGATGAAAACTTTTTTTAAACTTTGGATTAAAAATTATAATAAATATAATTATTACATATATAATTATAATATACAATTATATATATTATTATTATTTATATACAATTATTATATTATTATTATATATTATGTATATAATAAAATAACTTGGAATAAAAAAATGTAAGAAATGTCTCGTTTTTCCACTTTCTTATATGAGCCCATAACGATAATTCGAAAAACACATTTGCTGAGCACATTCAGCAATAGAATTAATCCAGAAAATCTTACCCGTGCTCCAACAGTAATTTTCCTCGAAACAAATAAGCGCCCGACAACTTATGGACAGGAGCGTATGTTCAAAAGTGGGATACTCAACGGTCGGACCTCGCAATCGTGTTCGTTTTGTTCGCCGTAGTACAGGTACAGGTTCGAGAGGAGACACTTTTCTTGGCCGGAAAACGCCGGAATCAGCGATGCTGGTCGTACGGGGGAGGTCGCAGGGTGGGTGGTTGAGCGGGTGGAAGCCGGGCGGATCGAGCAAAAAGACGGAGAGATCGCGGGGAACGCTTCGGGAAGACGCGAGAATCGACGAGGCGCGGCGCGGAGAGCAGAAGCTGACGCGGCAGAGGCGGTAGCGAGCATGAATCTGAAAAGGTATGGGCTGCGTTCACGCGACGATGATTTACGGGCATATTAGGTCGATAAGATATCTTCCGGTTCGTTGACCCGGAGGAAGCTCTATTTTTAAGGCGTCGCGCGGCGCCGCGCCGCGATGAGACACCGGGAGCTTTTGCCCCCATCCATCGCCGACGGCTCCGATATCTTGGCCTTTACTCCCAGCCGCCCCGATGTTGCCATGGATCTTGTCACAGAGCCGGGCTTTTTGAGGGGTCTCGCGCCCACCGATAAAACAGAGCACCGGGAAACAACGCGACCGTGAACGCTCCTTTCGCCTCGCAGCGAGCCGAACGAGCTCATCCGTTCCAGCCCCGTGGACCCTCTCGGAAACGAGCGCCCGATAAGACGACGTCTCCGTTCGTTGCTATCCAAGTTCAATGGAAAGGATTTGAATAATTCCGCCGTTCGATCTCGGGACGACCGTGGCCGAACGACGCGAAGCGACGCGACGGGACGCGCGCTGTTCCCAAATCCTGGAAACGCGGTGAGAAACTCATCCTGATAATTTTCTTTACGTGCGAAAGTTCGGACTGTATCCTACGTAATGGCATCAACGAAATTCCTGAATTTTCCTAAATACGACTTGAAAATTAGGAATGAAAATGGAAACGTTAAACGATATATATGTCGACATAAATTAATCGCGCTTGAATTAAAATGCGATCTTTTATAAGAATCGACAGAGTTTTTCTGATTTGTTAGTAGTCATATTATTTTCATTTTTATTTTTGTTATTATTCTATTATTATTACTATTCTTTTTATTATTGTTATTATGTTGAGTTATCGTGGAAAAATTGAAAGGGCATCCGGCCCGTCGATACAAAATAAGTTAAATGAAATTAAAAATGAAATTTTGCACAACACTTAGTCCCATCAGCAACTAATTAAATTGTGAGAACCATAATTTTATATTTTAGTCATTTTGACGTAGACTTCTTTGAAATTGCGTAGTCGTATCAACAATTTATCCACCGGAAACCTATTAATAGGATTTTGAATTACTGTGCTATTCTGAGAGGAATTATAAACTTCTTTCTTTACATGGTAATATCAAACGAAATTAGTAGATTATATTACTGAGAGGAAACAACCATAATAGTTAGAACTTTAATTCTTTATGAAAATAACAATCGCTTTTTTAAGAACTCCCACACGCAAAAGTTTTCGCACAAACAGTCCGAACCGTATTAAATAAAAAAGAAAAAAGACTTCTACCACGCAGTGACCAAAATGTTCGATTAATTATCCGATCAATCCTTAACGTAGAAGATACATATGAAATGATATCTTTTACCGCTTTTGGACGTCTTACGCCACAGCGTCGCGAAGAAAAAAATAGATACCGTCTCCGCGGCTCCTCGTAGCCGTCGAACCAGTCCTCGTCGACAAACTATCGGCAAACTATGAATTACATGCCGGTCGTCCGGAGACGTGTCCGCGTGGAAATCGAGGGCGACCAGGTGCGCCGAGGGCAGACGGACAACAAGCAACCGAATCACGGACTCGGGAATAAATATTTCATGTCGTCGGGAGGTACGTCGAGTACGTACTATCTCTTCCCGATCGACGGAGAGGGGATGAATTATTCCGTCTAAGAAAAATCTGCTGGCTGGGCTGCTCGCGGTACCGTTCGATGTTTAATGTAAAACCTCCGGAGGAGATCCTCCTGGCGAACCATCGAACTCGTCCGCTAAACGCGACCCTCGTGGCCGCCGTGGCCCCGATGCAAACGACAAAACATTTCCATACCGAGTCCGACCATCGATCAAAACAATACGTTCCGGTAAGTTGGGGGTTCGCTGCGACACGTCCCACAATAGTACCTTCTCCCAAAAGGGTTGGCCGTGTCGCGTAACTGCATACGATTTTTATTAAAATCGATGCAGTAAATTCTCTCTAATTGGCCCTCGGCTTGCAATCAAAAATGGACGATCCGGGAAGGGGAGACGTTGACAATCGGCGACTATAAAAACGAGCCGCGAGGCTCGAATGATCCTCTTCCTCTGAAATCGTTCATTTTTGTTTATAAGTTGAGGATCAATTTAGTGAGAATTTACTGTACTTTTAAAGTTTCGAGGTTACCGAATTCGAAATTGTTGTCGCCAGACCGCGGATTTCTATGCAAAATAAAAATTGTCTGCATTCACTGCAACGAATGGAAAGCAAGCAGTAGCAATCTTAAACCCTTGCCGTATCATTTTCATTACAATTACAACGATTAGAACTTTTCCGATCGCAATAATTTCACAGAAAAAAAATTTGATATCTATTGTGTGTTTACATCTACTCAAAGCAACAGAACAGACTTATTACCACTCCTCTCTGATTTGTTGAAGTATAAAAATTGCTGAAGCATAAAAATTGTTGAAGCGCGTTAAAAATCTGACCTTTCGAATCGGCTTCAATCTTCGCGGTATTTTAAATCGTAACTACCCAATCTCGTCATAAACGTGTCAAATTCGCAGTGTCCACTTATCACAAACGGAAAAATCCCAAATGAAAAATCCAACAGCGGCGACACAAACGTTGCTTTCAGCTCATTTCCCGTGAAAACGAATGTTCTCCCAATATTCTCGATAACCGTGCGCCGATATTTGAAAATTTCACGCGGCTGCTTGCTGCAACAGTTCTTTCCACCTCTCCCCATGTACTTCGAAAGTTTCGTTTTCTCTACTTTTTTGGAAAAGGTCCCGACCGTGCGTCGCTTGTCGGAGTGCTGCGCGCCAGCGGGGAGGTTATGTGTCGCCGCGCGGTGAAAACGAGGGAAAAGGCGCGCCGTGCAGGGAGACAACATAATGCAGATAACGAGCAAGAAGTTTCGCGTTGGCGTGCCTGCTCTGACAGTGACGTCTCTGCTAACGATGGCGCCGACGCTGTTGACGGCGGAACACTTATAAATGGCCCAGTGGACGTCCTGCCGGAACACTTCGGCCTCGAAGCCGGGAAAGTAGATCGTCCCGTTGCCAAGGACGTGTCTGATTCCAGGGATACTCGTTATGCTACCGCCGTCCGCTACCAGCCAGTCGACGGTGGGCGCCGGATTTCCTCTGACTATACAGTCCACACGGCCGCCGTTCACGTTCGTGAACTCCACACGCGACGGCGGCTCCGACACGAAGCTCGGCCCCTGCATCTCGTACGAGGCGCCGCTGCCTGAAACACACGGGACAGATATCGTTATAATAGGCTGGGGATTCCAGTGCCTCGAATATTTGGAATTTCCGCGGTGTGCCATTGTAATCCCCGGTTATTTAGCACGTCACCGCCAAGCTGTGCCTTCCCGTCGACCACGGACCCTACATCTTTGTGCGCGCTGACGCTCTCGGTGCGCGGGAATTCCCGTTTGTTCAATGCATCTTCCCACTTGTCAGATTACGGCGGTACGGAACGATTCTGATGCTGCCGTTTCTTCGAACGGTTCATCCGTGGATCGAAAACAACCTCTCCGTAAATAGACCGCGGATTCTAGGCGGAGATGGGCAAAATTCGATTCGGACGACGGCCGAGACGTAAGTACTAACGAATCAAACTTTATTCGACGCTGTCCGATAGATAGGCGGTAAAATACAAATTTATCTAGATAATAATTTGTCGTTTTATTCGAATGAAGAATTATTCGAATAAGATTTTATTCGAATAAGATTTTATTCAACAAATGTGAGATATCAAAAATATATACAGGATTCCGTTTAAAAAATTGCAAGTCACCTTCATTGCTAAAAAAATAATGCGGATGAAAAGAAATGACAGATACAGTTATATTGCTTGTAAAGAACAGAATAACTTTCTCCTCCTCTAGTATGACTCTCTTCCTTATATATAATGTTTATTATTTTTAAGAAACATGCTGGCTAGACTTACCGCGAATATTAACCCCCTGTATATTATTATATATTATTATTATAGAGAGCGAGCGGAACCGAGCCAACCGAAGCCAAGCTGAGCGAGCGGAGCCAAGCCAAACCAAGCCAAGTCAAGCCGAACGAGCGAAGCTAAGCCAAGACGATCCGAGCGGAACCGAGCCAACCGAAGCCAAGCTGAGCGAGCGGAGCCAAGCCAAACCAAGCCAAGTCAAGCCGAACGAGCGAAGCTAAGCCAAGACGATCCGAGCGGAACCGAGCCAAGCCGAGCCGAGCCGAGCCGAGCCGAGCCAAGCCAAGGTGATCCGAGCGGAGCCGAGCCAAACCAAGCCACGCAGAGCCGATCCAAACCGAGCCGAGCCAAGCCGAGCGAAAGCAAGCCAAAGCGAGCCAAGCCGAGCCAAGCCGAACCATGCCGAGCGGAGCCGAGCCGAACCAAGCCAAGTCAAGCCGAACGAGCGAAGCTAAGCCAAGACGATCCGAGCGGAGCCGAGCCAAGCCGAGCCAAGCCGTGTCAAACCGAACCAAGCAGAGCGGAGCCGAGCCAAGCCGAGCGCTCGCTCTCTGTATATTAACACTAAACTAACCAAGCATTAAAAGTAACCGAAAAACAATTTTCCTTGTAGAAATTGCAAGATTGAATTTACTTGGACTTTGTGCAATCTTTATTAGGAAATGAATGAAGAAATCGATCACATCATTTTCCACAGGAACATCCTCAACAATCGTGAAATAATAAAGACGAAACGGATAGTTCCACCGACACAGGCAAGGATCAGCGTTAAATAAAAAAATCGTCGAATCAACAGGATGTCTTATCTGTTTGTCCGCGACTGCGCGAACCGCTCCGTCTCCCGACGAGTCCAGATAAATGGATTTTTCTCGCGCGTAATAGATAAACGCCGCGAAGCGATGTTTTCCAATGACTGTTAATGAAACGCGATCAACAGCCGGTCCGTAAATCCAGCGTGACGCGGGGCAGGTTTCCATCGGGCCGCGCTCGATCAGGGAGAAATCAATTTTCCTTACTGTTTGAATCGGCAGTTAGAAAGACATTAATCATGGTCGGCGAGCGGCCGGTCGGCGCCGGGTTGATGAATTTTTTTTCGGCCGGCTTGCCGAATTCAAAGTAATTTTCAGGAATAGGAGCCGTGACGGCCGGGTGCGCGCCGTTGACGCCGGGGCGCGACGTACGAAGGGATCTGCCGCGGGGAGGGTTTTGGACTCGTTGGCGACCGGTGTGCGGCGAGAGGGAGGTGCACGGGGCTGGTGTATCGCCAACGGGACATGAACGAAGATAATACGGCCGGCCATAAATCACACATTTAACGCTGAAATTCGGCCGTAATAGCTTCCATAAATGGAGCGCGTTGCGTCCCCCGCGAATCCTGTTAACCATTCATCACCCGAGTTATGTTGATTTAAGTAGGAATGCCGGTCCGCACGGATGTATTCAACATTCCGTCCAACATTGCCCATCTGGAAGCCGGCCGACGCAACGGCCAACGACGGAGCGCACAGAATCCCGAAGGAACGTGCGACGAATATTCGCGTGCTAGACGCATCCTCGCGTGTGTCACGAACGTTTTAGTAAATAAACTGTGATAGACGGGAGCCCGGGACCTGGCTGCTACTTCCTACGGAATGGCGCCGAAACGATCGCTGGCCAGGAATCGTTCCGATTCGAGCGGCTACGTGCAACCTAAATATTCCATCGAGACCGCGACACGTCAAGGCCATCGTTCTTTACGATCGATGTCAAGATTGCGTTCGAAATCAACCGCGATGCGGTTCGTGCGGGACTGGCCGCTCTCGGACCACCATTTTCCGGTTTCGATTCCGTTCAGACAATAGACAACTGCAGTATACTGCAGCGGGCAACTTACAGTGACCCACAGAAGTGTTCGTGCACTCTTCAAATCGCAATAACTTGTTCAAAACTGAACTGAGTGACGTGAATCTTTTTTTAGACGATAGAGGGTCTAGCCTACCAGACAATAAGCAAAGTGCTTTTTCTCTACTATGGCGAAAGTTTAAAAAATGTGTTTCGCAGATCTCGGTAACTTACAATTTTGACAATTTTCATCTTTATACCATTTTATCTTTTACCATTATTAAGACCAATTGGTTTTTATCACCAGGTATGCAGTGAAGGATACTTAATAAATAGACTGCGGATTTTTATACAAAGCTAGAATTGTGTAAATCGACAGCAAGAAACGTATAAGTAAGATAGAAATGTTTCTCCTCCCTTGATAATCTCAATAAACTGTACATAATATAAAATTCTTGTACAATTTAATTTGTAGCGTAAGATCTTCCTTGAAGCTTATTGCCGTAATATCTTCTTCTATCTTGCCGTAATATAGTAACTTCAATTGCCTTGCTTATTGAAGTAAATGCAGTTCGCCGTTCGTCTTAATCTCTGCATACATAATCAAATTATATGTAATATATATATTTTTTCTTCAATTTCTCTCTTTTCCTTTGCATATTTATTAAGTTTTCTTTTCTTTCTTAGTTTTAAGCTTTTACATTTGATTTTATTATTCTATTTATATTTATTTATTTTATTTCATTTACTTATATATTCATTTATTACTTTCTCTCACTCTGACAAAGGGTTCATCCCATCGATAAATAAAGTTATTATTATAATATACAATTATTATCGAATCATTCCGAGGATATGATCGTTTCGGGCAAAAATGCATAGAATTCCCAGTCTAATAATAAACCAAATCGAAACAACCGAGCGGTTCAAAGCCCCCAGTCCCGCAAGCACTGCCTCGTATTCGATTTTGCACAAAGAGCGCGACACAGACTGGCAAAAGTGATCGATTCGGCGTAAAATGACCCAATAACGTTTGCCAGCCTGAGGGAGATATCCAGTTCGGGGAGAAAGCTGAATTTTCCTGGTGAGACGAATCAAGTTACCGGCGAGCGGCGGGTCGATCGGCGCTCGAATAAATCACGGGGACGTTTCTTTTCGGACCCCAGGCCCGGCCGGTCCCGCTCCGTTCGTCGTCGTAACTTCGCGCGAGCCGAGTCGCCGTTAATTAACTTCCCCTCGAGTTCGGGCAGCGAGGACGATGCTCGCGTGCCTCCCGCCGGCAACCCTTATCCGCGGGAAACACGCGCGAACTTCTCGCGGGAGCAACGAAGAATTTCCACGGCAGTCCACCGAATGCCGAGGATTCCCTCTTTGTCGCCAGGATTGTTTCCAAGATGCACTTAGAGGCGTGACTCGCGCCGGGATCTCGGATCTGATCGCGTGCCCGCCGCCACCCCCGCGACCCCTCGCCGGGAACGAGAACCGTAACATCTTCCGACGGCGGCTGTATTATTCCAAAGGAGACTCGACCGGCCGCATTCTCTTCCGAGATTTCTCTATCCTCCGCCGCTGCTTTTTCCGAGGAATATCTCGGTCCACGGTGCCGGTAATACCTAGTGACCTAAATTCTCTACCCCCTCCTAGGCCCGACGCACCATGTATCCGGTACCCAAAAGCGGTGGAAAGTCTCAAAAATTAAAGAAGGTCTATTAAACATGTGGCGTCATTCTTTTTTTCATTTTGTATGCATTATTAACGCGGCTACATAATTTCAAAGAAGCCCACCGCAGAATGACTGACATATAAAATTATTATTTACAGTGTCGATGGTTTCTTAACCCTTAGCATTCGGAATACTTCTCTGATAAATTTTGCAAGAATAATTAAAATATCTGACAAATTTTTGATATAAGAATAAAAGGATATTTTGTTAATGTTATGTCTCGGTTAAGTCAGGTAATTAACATCATTTCAATCACTATAAGGTATTTATAGTAAGCATTACAAAATTGTTATAGATTAATTAAAATCATATAATCCCTAGCCATCAATTGTCCATAAAAATTACATCGTAAAATGGCCTTTCGTTCATAAAATAATCTAAACAAGTGTGAACTAACGTACTACTTGATCCTCCTAACACTCGCACGACGAACTCATTTAGAATGAATCCTCTGCTCAATTTTTGGAACATTCCCTTGCTAAATATGATCATTTAGACATTTTAACACATCGTACACATAGCTTTGAATAGACACGATGCAGCGACTTGTTCGAATAAAAATCCATCGACGGCCGCACTGTGCGCCGATCCGAGAGCGCGCTAGTCGAAGATTACGAAGGATTTCCATATTACCCTCGCGTTCGTTTTTTCGGCGACCGCAGGACGCAATCCGGCTTAACATCGGAAAAATGAAGTGCCGCGATGTTTCCATATTTGCCGGGCGGAATACGACCGG